TGCGAAAAAGCAAAAAGAAGCACGAATTCCAGAAGGAAAGTCCGAAATTCCGAAAGCTATCGGGGGCTCGACAAAATTCGAAAAAGATTTAAACGAAAATTCAAAAAGAACGAAGCAATTTCCTGCGCGATGTCCGTGCCCAAAAGATCGAAATCGAACCGAAAGAAACGACGTCAACATTTATTAAGTGTGCGCGCGCGTGGCGTCGCGCCAGACGACCATCCGACCAATCAATCAACCGGCCGTCCCAAGATACACCTCACCCCGTGCCCGACCATTCGAAAAAGAAACGATGAAAAAAGACGAAACAGCGAGGATACTGATGCAATTCTCCACCGATCCCGATCTCCCGAAATTGGCCCAATCTTCCCAGCTTAGGACCCCTCATTGCAACCGCGTAGAAAATCGCGCGTTGCAGAAAGTGGTTCGTCACATATGTGACGCCCAGGGGGTTCCAATGTTAGCAAGCTCCTGCTTGCTTGTTGACACGTGTCGATTTCTCTAATTGATCGATACGCGGAGCAATTCTTTGTATGCCACTTACCGTTTGATTGCGTGTGGACGTCATCCAACGTGGCCATTCTGCTCTTCTACTAGTTCCCAGATTGGGCTCTTCGACGATCCAAGGACGGGATCTTTCTCGTGCCGTCGTCGCGACACGCGTCTATTATCGCTGCATCAGTAATTAACCGGAAGGGGGAAGGGAAGGCGATACGCGTATGAGGGAGGGCGGGGCGGTTCCATCGTAAGCTCGGGTATGAAGCGCCCGATCGCAACGAGGTCGTAGGGGAGTTCTTGAAAATGGACAATGCGATGGAAGCGAGGGAATCTCTGGCCGCTGCGGGAAAGGGAAGCAAGGTAGTTTGGGTAAAGGGATACGAGGGTTCAGAGGACGTCTGTGCGGAACCGATCATGGTTCTTGCACGCGGGGAAGGTCCCCGTAATGATGCAGTAAACCTCTATACGGTTACAGCCTCGCCACGCGGCGCTAAGAAGAAGAACGTGGAGGGAGTAGTCGGGGACAGCACACCGAACGGAAGGGTGGGGGTGGACAGTCAGTTCTGGGCGGGCGGAGTAGAAATGTCGGAAGGTGGCGATGGGGAAGGGATTACGGGGGTAGACGACGCGATGGAAATACTGATTGAAAGAGAGATAGCTAAGGGGATGGTGGTATATGGATCAGGGACGAAGGGCTAAGCCCCTCATTGACACGTTGATGAATTGGGGGACGGGCGGAGGCGGAGGGGGACGTGGATCGGGATCCGGATCGGCGCCTTGTCGTCGCGGCTCCCGAGGTTGTGGCAGCAAGGTCTCCATGTTCCGGCTTGGGCGGCTCGGGATCCTTGAAAGGATCGTACGGTTCGGGATCGATCGCCAGCCGCTTTCCTTCCGCAATCTCTTTCTTGCGCTGCGCAGCAGCCTCCGGGTTCTCCTCTCACCGATCCGGTCCTGGCACCCGCTCGAGCTCGTCGTGCATTGGCTCCTGGTCGCCCCCACTTTCCACTTCTTCGTCGTCTTCGTCCTCCTCCTCACTTTGCTCGCCCTCGCTGTACTCGCTATAGGCCTCTTCCTCTTCATCTGAAGTCTCCTCCTCTGCTTCTTCTTCTTCTTCTTCTTCGTCTTCGGCCAATCGGGCCGCTGCTTCCTCGGCCTCCCTCCTCAGTTCTCCTTCCGATTCCTCTTCGGCCTCCTTCCGATTCCTCTTCGGCCTCCTCTTCTGCTCTCAGCGCCGCCCACTCGAACGCCGTTGGTTGTCGAAAGAAGCGGGGATTAGTCAGGCTGTGGACGTCCAGGTACTCTTTTTGGAGGGGAAAACGGTCGTCCGCCCAGCGCTCCTCGATACAAGCCGACCACTGGAGGCTCGGGGCGAGAGTCCTTGAGAGGGTATGTGGCACGGATTCTTCGTCGCTCTGAGAGACGATGTCGAGAGGGAGTTCGTCGGCTAATCGCGCGATCATGATCGTAAGTTCGCGCGCGATCTGTGATCGGTTAAACCGATAACTGCTCCAAAGAGGAATCCCAGAAGATCTCCCGCCACGTTGGTCCTCCACGCCTGAATGACGAGCAACTCCACAATCTCCGATGCGGGCCTCTGATCGCCTTCCCACGTCCAATTCAGATCCACTCATAGCAGGCAAAACGAGAGCTCGACAAATTCTGCACGCCACAACCTCCAACGGTCCAGATCAACGAGGGGTACTGTCAGTGGCTCCAGACGGAAGGAGAGACGAGGGTAGTGAGAGGACTGCCAGAAGATGGGGAAGAGAGAGGGAGGAGAGAACGTCGAGATCGGCGCGCGGCTCATCTGCGCGGCTGGAAGGGAGCAAGTTCTGGGAGGACGACTCGCGTAGCGTCGTGCGCAGCGTGTTGACTTCGATGTCGTCGACATGATAACACTCGTCACCGTGCCTTGTGAGCCGTCGATCCCAATCAGTGGCCAGATCGCGACCCCACCGGTACAAGGTGCTTTTGATGGCGGCTTGCCGCGCCGGATCGAAGGCGGTGATGTCGCCGCTGAAGACTACCACGGTAGACACGTGGCTGATTCCCGGGGCAGCTCGCCGTTGGAACGTCATTGCCTCGGCTAGCACCACTACCTGGGGATTGCTCGTGAATCGGAACTTTGCCGCACCGTATACACCCGCAGTGCAGAAGAACTGCGCAAGGCGCATGAAGTCGGGGCTGATCCGTGGATGATGCACTTGGCGGATGGCTGCGATCTCTCCCCGTGGCATCAGCAACTAATCACTTAAAGCTCGCTCGATGGCGAAACTCATGGCGATGGCGGGGGTGACGGGGTGGTAGAGAGGGAGCAAGAAATGGAGGGAGATGGCGGAGAGTCCGAGCCGTCGTCGGCGGCTTCCTCACAAAGAGAGATCGAGGGAGAGGGAGACGGTGCAGAGGGAAGGAGGCGAAGATAGGACACGTGGCATGTGATCGGACGAGCCGATCGACTGCCAGAGACTTCAGGGGCGAGGCGCACGGTGTCCACGCCATTGGGGCCGAGCTCGATCAAGCGATATCGCCCGAAGAATCGTGGCGCTAACATACCTGCACCACGTCCCCCAATTTGTACTGGGGCCGCGGACCCGCATTCCCATTTCGGGCCTCGTAGCTCCGGACCTGTAGGCCCTGGGCTAGTTCGGTCATTTTCTGTCGCTTTCGGGTTAACCTGGGCAGCGACCGTTCCATTAACTCTAGGTGCCGTTTGGCCTTGTCCCAATCCGTAGCCCTGGTGCGCCGTCAGTCCAACGTAGACTCATCCGGGAGGCTTGGTATCGAAATGCAAGCGACACTATTGGTCCTTAATTGGAAGGGGCTCAGCCCCGTCGATTCGTGGGGTGTTCCGCGATGGACTGCCAGGATGTGATGGACGATATCGAACCAAGGTCTCGGATCCCGTGCCGCGATGTTTCGTCACAACGCTGTCTTTATCACCCGGTTAGCGTTTTCGACCAGCCCATTGGATTGTGACATGTGGGGTGCAGTGTTCCGTATGGCGACGCCATGTAGGACCAGATTTCTTAACACTTCTCCCCTGAATTCGGCCCCGTTGTCGGTCAGGATTTCTTCCGTATCCTGATGCATCCCGAGGAAACGGTTGACATATCGTGCGATTTTCGTGGCTTGCCGCGTGCAACAAGGATATGCTTCGATCCATTTCGAGAAATGGTCGACAAATACCACAAGACTGAATATTCGCAACTATTAGGGCCAGGGGGCACCACTATATCGGTAGTGTCCATGCTTACTCTCTGAAATGGTCGTTCAACAACCTTGGGCACTATCGACCTTGGCGGCTGAATCGACGCTTTATCAGCGGCGCAGACTTGACAGGTGGCGACGATGTACTTCACATCGTCGCGGATATTGGACCAGTACCACTCATTTTTGTCGATAGCGGACTCCGTAATTCGTACAGCAAAATGAGTTGCAGTTTCCTCGTGGGTTGTCTTAACCCAGTCATACCGCATGAACGGATGCGGCACCACCATCCAAACTCCACTGCCGTCCGTTTTTCGTTTTTCTAATCTACCCTCTATCCATCGATAATCCCGAGCCCTTTCGTTGGCCCTCCTCCGATCTTCCTTGGTGAAATCCTGGAGGGGGTTACCTACTAGGGTGGCAATTAAGACAATATCCGTCCATACTTCAGCCCTTCTAAACTTTCGGGTCTTTTCCAATCCTTCTGACGTGGCATCCAAAAAGCGAGCCTCGGTCGGAATTTTGTCGGTCTAGCACAAGGGGCACAACCATGGTTTACTATCGTTCCTGTATTGGATGCACGAGCCATGGGCCTGTGCAACACACTGTCGGCAATCTATCCAATCCGCATATCCCATCCCGTTAGGGCGCATGGAGACCGAATAGACGCGGGAGATGGCTTCGCAAAAATAGCAAAATTTGTCCGGCAGGGAGAGGAGAGACGAGGAGGAAGGGGGAAAAAGAGGGGTAGTGGGGTTACCTCCATCACCCATCGCCACCGTTTTGCTTCTTGCCACGTGGGAGAACTGCCACTTGTCCGTACTTCGGCTCGTTAGTCAGGTCCGACTCTTTCCACAGTGTAATCTCCTCGCCCTTTGGCACCTTGGCAGGTCGATGCAGACGTGTTAGCCCGTCCGCGTTGCCGTGTCGCTCTGTCTTTCGATGGACGATATCGAAGTCGTATTCCTGTAGTCGCACCGCCCAACGGCCAATCATGCCCGTGTAGTTGGTGAGTTTCTTCAGTGCCAGCAGAGGTTCGTGATCCGTTACAAGGCGAAACTTTTGTCCGTAGAGATACGGATGGAAGTGTTGGATTCCCCAAACTACCGCATAACACTCACCCTGAGGTGCGGAGTCGTTTCTTCGCTCGTCCGGTACGGTTCGTGACGCATACTCGATGATGTGTTCGCGACCATCGTTCCCCTTCTATGCTAGAATAGCGGAAATGGCTTCCGGTTGCCAGTCCGTGATGAGAATGAACTGCTTCGAGGGGTCCGGTCGAATCAAAACAGGGGTCGTTGCCAGAGCGTCCTTGAGGGTTGCAAAGGCCTGCTGGCACTCCGCGTCCCAGCTGAGAGGCTGGTCCTTCCGCAGCAGATTCGTTAGTGGTCATGCAATCGCGACAAAGCCCTTGATGAAGTGCCGGTAGTACGACGCCAGTCCCAAGAAGGCTCGAACCTGCGTCAGTGACGTAGGAATCGGAGCTTCCTTCACCGCCGCAACTTTTCTCGAATCTGGCCGCAATCCTCCACGTGTAACGACATAGCCCAAGAACGAAATTTCTGAGAGGAAAAATTCTCTCTTCTCAAGCGCAATCTTGAACCCAACGTCTCTCAATGCACCCAATGTCCATTTGATGTGTTGCGCGTGCCCGTCATAGGTTTCCGAATAGACCAGGATGTCGTCCATGTACACGATCATGCAGAAGTTAATCATTCCTTGCGTCAGCCGTGTCTTGCTGACGAAGTTCAGGAACGTCATGTTCATCGCTCGCTGAAACGTGGCAGGCGCATTGCAAATCCCTATCGGACACCGAACCCACTGCCACGTGCCCTCAAACAACACAAAGGCCGTTTTCGGCCGGTCTTCTTCCCTTACCAGAATATGATGGAAGCCATGCCGAATATCAAACTTGCTGAAATATTTAGCGCATCCAATCGCATCCAACAAATCATCAATCCGGGGGAGGGGATACACATCTTTGATCGTGATTTCATTCATCTTGCGATAATCAATGCAGATGCGAATCGCTCCGTTCTTCTTCGGTACTAACACTACGGGAAAGGACCAGGGTCCAGTAGCGGGTTCAATCCAACCGCTGGCTTCGAACTCCCGAATTCGTTCGAGAGCCTTTTTGCGTTCAATCAAGGAATAACGATAAGGTTTGCAATGGATCGGGGAGTGATTTCCTGTCCGAATTTCGTGTTGGATTACTAACGACAACCCAATGTCAGTGTCTGACACACTAATCGCTCCTTGATATTCCGTAAGAATATCTGCAATTACCCGGTGGATTTCATCCGGCACATATTGTGGAACGTGCAGTTCAAAGAGTTGGTCCCAAATCCGAACGTCAATCTGTTTCGTGTTCGCCTGTTTTGTCAAGTGGGGTGGAGGCGCCGAGATGAATGAATGATCCGATTGCCAGGAGAACACCGTGGCCATCATCTGAGCATCTTCTTCTCGGATTGCCACGTGTCCTTCCGGGGTAATCCCGTCACAAACATTTTGCCATGACACTTTCTTAGTTGCGATCTTTATCCCAAGTCCGTCTGTTTCCGCTTCAAAACGCCCAGGGGGTTCCAGAGAGCTTGCTTCCGCCCCCAAGCGCAACAATCTCACTTCTTTAGCCGAGGTTAGTAAGGACTTGGGTAGATCCGTAATGTCGCAGTAATGCTTCTTGTCGCTGTACCGGGCGAGGAGAGGGGTGATTCCTTCGTACAGAGTTTGAGGGGGTTCCAAAAAACCGACCATCATCGAAATCTGCACGAGGGGCTCACCCAAGATCATCGCCTTGGTCCTTTGAATTTTTCGGCTGGTTAGTTGCATCGTTCTCGCTATCGTTTTGGGTGGCGGGTAACAAACACGTTGTCGTGCCAATTTCAAGATCTTCGGATCATCCTCGTCACTGTTTTCCGCATCATCTGTTGATGACTCTTCTTCTGCGGATTTCTCCCAGGAGATCATGCGGAGAGTCCCTGCCATCATCGGCGAAACCCGTGGAGCCGCGTTAATAGTACTGATCTAGCGGGATTAGCTCGGCGGCCTCTTCCGTGGTGGCCAGGGCACTTCCCCCACCCTCTACTTCTTCCATCAAAACTCCAACACGTCCAGGTCCGTTGGCGATGGGAGCCGCAACCATAGGTGCGGCCCCGATCCGCTGTTGTGGAGGTCGGTGGGGGCAATCGCGGGCTAGGTGTCCTGGCTAATGACAGGCATAACAGACATTCAGATTATTTGCGACTCCTCCGAGCGCAGGTGCCGGAGCTAATCCTTGCTGCATCGGAGGGGCGCGTACCGCAATGGGCCGCATGTTCCTCATCATGGCTTCCAACCGAGCATTGTGCTCTCGCTGCTCCTTTTTGCTTTCCTGGATCAAACTAATCAAGGTTTTGGTTAGTTCGAAAATGGCCGCCGATTCGTTCGTTCGTGCGGGAGCCTCAACTGGTGGTGGGGGTAGCGCCCTGACGGGTGGGGGCATCATAGGAGCAAAGATGCTCGGAGTCTCCCTTAGGATTACTCGTTTGGGGCCTATCTGTTCCATATAGGTGACAGGTCCTGATACAAACCCCATGTTTTCAAATTTGTTCTGTAAAGCAGCCAGCTCTGCTCTTGCTCGAGCGAGCTCTGTCGAATCTCCGTCTCCAGGGTAATCTTCTCCGTCCAGGAAGTTCGCCGCGAACTTCAGTTCTATTTCTTCCGCAACAGCCATAATTTGTTGTAGCGTATGGGTGATAGGGAAAAACTGCTTTCGCAACTTAGCCCTTATTGTTCGGCTGCGGAGTCCGTCAATGAACAGATCTCTCCCTACTTGCTCACCTCGCTCAGTTTTTACGAACATTCTGTAGAACCGGTTTCGATATTCCGCCACAGATTCGAGCGGTTTCTGCACTCGGTCCTTGATCATGTATAGTGCTTGCTCAGATTGAACATAATCGAATCGGTTCATAAAGTCCCGTTCGAAGATCGGGAGATCCACCCATACATAGGTACTAAACCAATGATGAGCGTCTCCTCCCAGTCGAGCCGGAATGTTGATCTGTGCTTCGTGATCGTCGTACTGTTGTGCTCTAAGCGTGGCCAGCCATGCTCCTGCAAGATGGTGCGCTGGATCAAATAAATAGAGATCCGGTGGCGACATGGGAGCTCGTGCACGTGGGGCAGGTTGATTAGGTGGATTAGCATTTGTTGCGGAACCGGATTTTGCACATGGGCAGCCATATTGGCGGCTCGTCGGTTAGCCGATCTGCTTCTAGTGACGATAGGGTCGCGTTTATGCGCGTTCCGAGGGCGAGGTCGCCCACGGTTAGCCAGGTCACCTAATTACGTGCTAACAATCCTGAGACCCTAGCCACGTGTCGGGCTCCGATACCAACCTCACGCCCAGCGCGACTTCCTGATCGGAGTGGAGTGTGGGCCTGGAAGTGCGAAAAGGGGTGTGCCAAGGATTTTTGGGGGAAGTGGGG